AGCTATGGCCTCCAAGGGACTAGCGATGGCCTCCAACCTAATAGCGATGGCCTCCAACCAAAATAGCGACGTCCAACCTAATAGCTATGGCCTCCAACCGACTAGGGATGGCCTCCAACCTAATAGCGATGGCCGCCCTCCAACCATAATAGCGATGGCCTCCAACCGACTGTCCCTCTCAGCTGTCTCTTTCTACTTACTTGGCCTGGTGGTGGCACGACAAGGAAGCGACCATCTGCCCGACGCACGGCCACGGCAGAATTGGTAGTGCCCACATCCAAACCGACAGCAGGCGAACTGTCCTGGGAGAACATGTTGCTCTTTCCAGGATTCATATTGACTATCATGTATCATATCATGGCGTATGTCGTAGTTACCCCACAAGTAGGAAGTGTGACCAGCCTCCTGTGCTTGTAGGGCCGTCCTAGAGCATCTCTGCGCAAGCAGGCCAGCAAATGCTGTTGAGGCCTGCAAAACTGGCAAAAGCTCAAGTGTTGAAAGCGAGAACATGAGAAGAAACATCATGCAAAAGTAGGGACTACCGAAGAACGCATTCAGCCTGGAATGCACAAATGCAAGCGCTGACACAGGTCCAAAACCTCAGCGCAAAAAATGGGGAAAGAATAGTGCTCATGATCCCCATCCAGGCTTCAATTCCTGCGATGCCATCTTGGGAACATAGGAGGCAGCCTCGAACTGTTCTCACATGCAAGACCGCGCCTTATCAACAAAGGTGTTCGTCCATTGTGCCAGGTGGGCATCAAGAAACAAATCTTGAAAACACTAGGAAGAGTGTGGCTCACAGAGAAGTGATAACATCTAAGGCATACAACTCATTGTAACACTCGCAACTCAAAAGGACACGTTATAGTGCATGTTTGTTCCACGTTCTGCACCAATATGCAGTTCAAGCGCAAAATTGTGCTACCAGTACGCCATGCTGTGTGTGTGTGTCACCCTTGGAGTCATAGGGATGCTTTTGCATTTGTTTTACTGCAGGGGGACACAGCATTTCACTGGGACTGTGTCCAACGAAGCTACCAGTGAAATGGGATATCCAGCTTGGCCAGCTGGACGTACCTGCAATTTTCCTTTTCCGAATGGCAAGAGGCTAAGCCAAGAACCTCGATGCTTCAATGTTTTGATATTTTCTTTGCACTGCAGATGCGAGCGGATCGCCGTCAGCCTGTTCGTCCGTCGTTCGTTTTCTTCCTTTTGGGCCCTACTTCCTCTTGAAGACCTCCAGGATCCAGTGGTTCGTACGTGTACCCTTAGGAAATGGAACCCTAGGCCGGCGTGTGGCACCGCATTCAGTTCAGTACACAATATCTCAAGTGTGTTTGGCCTCGTGCCAACCCGGGATGAGCCCGCAGAGTGCCTCCCGTGGACCCGTTGAACGGGTGTACGTCGTTATCTCCCCTGCCCGGAGATGTAGATGCCCAGAGCGGGCGAAGGTGGCCTAGGCCGTACGTCCGATGATCTTTGTCTCATCTTTGGAATACCAAGTTGGCTTATGCCTTTACGTGACCGCAGCGGTCAAAGCAGCCAGCCATTTCGGCAAGGCACAAGGTGACCAGAGCGGTCAAAGCCAGTTTTAGGTTCATTGGAACCTGTCGCGAGCTTAGTCCACGCTTGTGTCGTAGCTGGGAACACCTTCTTCCCCTTTCCTTTCTTCTCTTTCTTTTTCTCTTCTCTCCCTTCCCCTCCCTCCCGTCAGGACCTTAGTGTGGGTTGCTTCTAGGGGCTCCTGGCCTTACTACTAGGACGCTACTTTGGTGCTCCTAGGGGTTCCTGGCCTTACTACTAGGCGCTAGGACGCTCTAGGGCTGAGATGCCTCCCCTCGGGGAGGCGTGTGTGTGTCACCCTTGGAGTCATAGGGATGCTTTTGCATTTGTTT